ACATCATCAAACTGGTCCATTGAAAATATTGTTTAAGAGTTCATGAAAAAGGGAAAGCAATGGACTCTTAAATTATATGATCCTTAAACGCTCTGTAATATTTAACTTGGTGTAGGTACAGCCATGAAAGCTGTTATGATGGTACTAGCTCTCACAGCTTCCGTGTCGAATTTGACAGCAGCTATTCAAAGCCGTTCGTCCTTTCTTCAAACGACGAAAGATCGCTATCTAGTAGGCCATGTGATCAGTGATCATCGGAAGGTGTCCAGCATTTCATCATGTGCACAACTCTGTCTGAAAAGACGTCCATCTTGCCGCTCAATAAACTACGGGGGAGAAGAAGGAGAAAAGATTTGTGAGTTAAATGATAAAGGATTAGAGAGCGCTAATGCAGAGTCTTCTTCCTTTGTTTCTATGCCTGGATTTGTCTTTGCTCAGCTTCTCAATTTTGAGGTTAGTGCAGATGAAAGTCTGGAAATGATCCTAACCAAATTTGTACCAATTTATAGAAAAGGAACAAAATAAAGTAGTGCATTTACACTATCTTTATAAATTTTTTTAAGACTAATGATAGCATGCCATAGTAAAAGAAAAAAAGACGCGTCGGCGATTTATCCCCCATTGGCCTCTGTTTCATAGGTGCGATCTTTTAAGCTGCGTAGACTTTTAAACTGTAGCAAATGGATGTAAAAATACAACTTTTTCGGAAAATTATCTCCGCCACTGACCCACTAAAATATGGGTATAAGCATGCTAATCTCATTTACATGTACCCTTGCATATCATGCCATCGGTAATCGTGAGGAATCATTCCTAGATCAAGGAAGCGAAGGAATGAAAAATTACTTTAAGCTAGATGTTTTGTATTACACGTGCTCAACGATTATAACGTTGTAGAATTTAAGTATTTACTGTAGTATGGTTTACTTTTTAATCCTTATTTGAAATAGTATCACAAGAGTTGCGACGAAATCCAGAAAAAGAACCCTGAGGCGAAGAGTGGTTTATACAAAGTTTACCCTGTGTCAAATGCTGATCCTGTTGAGGTATACTGTGAACTTGACATTGCTGAAGGTGGCTTCACTTTCCTTCCTCACAGCCTCACTTTAAGATCAGATGCTCAACAGATTATCGACGCTCTCTTCAAAGACAAGAAAACCGTGTTGTTAAAGTTATGGAAAAAAGTCGATGGTAGCGAGTGGTACACTTTGATTCAGCCCCACCCGAATTATGCTGACGTCGATTTTGGCGTCTTGGTGAACAACTACTCTGGTTACACCGAACCAAACAACGCCTTCATGCAGAAATACGTATTCCTTGGCATCCTCCCTAAATCAGTGGCAAATAAGAAAACAACCCAGGGTTTCAGATCTAATGGCATCATACTAGAGTTTTGGAACTGCGATGCCAATCCCAACAGCCTGTTTGCATTTATTCCGAACCATCATCACCAATTACCATACGGTCATGGCGGGACGTCAGTGTTTGAAAATAGCGGAATCGCAGTAAACTGGCGCTCCCATGCCAAAGCTGTCACGAATGGCGGTCCCAAAACGCCAAACGAGTTCTTCTTCTTGACCGAGCTGAATTTTGGTGGCTGTGGCTGTTACACTTCAAGCGACCGCTGGAAGAAGTTTGGTTATAATTCTACTGCCATTGGACTCCGCTGATCGATGTTTTCATCATGAAATATTGGCTCTTTTGTTTGCTAATAGATGACTTGTAACTCGTCACCAGTCAGCAAGGATCATCACCCACTTTTCAGAAGGTTGCTAAATACTATAAATGACCAGTAGATGAGTTGGCATGAGAACAGAAAATATGCAAACCTTTAGTTTGGTAGATTACTTTACACCGAAAGCTGCCTCATCTGTCTTAACATTTTACATGATTTTTTATGTTCTGTTTGTATAATTTTACCTTTCATATTTAATCACCAAGTTCAGAAGTTCTTTAAGTACCTAAGGAAAATCCAAACTAATGATAAAAATAACTACAATAATGATAATAATAACAATAAGTTCACATCTATGATTTTCATATATTTACACTCATTTATTCATCGCTTCACGGGTTTACTTGGAAGCAACATAATAGCCATCTCCCAGTTGGCTTGTTAGCTCAGTTGGTAGAGCACTGCATCGGTATCGTAGAGGTCAAATTCCGTCAGTACGGGCCTAAATTTTTTTCTGGCGAAAGTAAGGGTAGAAAGTATTCTTTGCCCAAGTATCTCCAACGCTACTGGTAACTACTTCTTTCGCTGGCCTCCTCCATGTAAACACAATAATTTCGGCCCTCCGCGTAAAGACTTATCATTTTAAGCTACTTGAAAGTGTCAAAAGCTTTCTAAACTTTCAGAATGTCGACTTTTCCATCGAAGGACATGGACAAATACGCAGAGTCCATTCCAGTTCGATTCATTCAGGGCATGCGTGTTGACGAAGTTATCAATTATGCTATTTTCATTTGTGGAACGGAAGATGCTTTTGTCTTCCGGTGGACGTGGTCGTTGTCGAACCAAATAAAAGCTAGTTGGTAGAGCGAATGAAACGAGAGAGATCTGAAATTCAGTGGCAAGGAGGTTATAGTCGCGTGGGAACACACCGTTTAGTAACCCTTTCAAATGAGAAATTATCGAAGCAAGAAACCAAGTGCTGTAGTCTCCTCTAGAAACTTTTCCATGTACAATGTGTTCAAACTCGTAGGTTATTCGTCAGCTTCTTCCTGACTCCATCATCTTTACATTTATTTCGCGAAAACCCTGTTTGAGTGAACCATGCAATGATATTGAAAATTTCCTATAAGTTCAGGTTAAAGCGAAATACAAGTGGTCCCATGGAAGGCATTGCCGTTTTTTGTAGATTGTTTTCGATGGGACGTATACCACCCCGTGATTAATATGGAGTTTGCAGTTTCTAGAGCCGGGGTTTATTGAGAAATTGAACTGACCGGGAAGCGATCACTACTTGATTAAAAGTTTCCGACCAGAGAGGGACAATTTTTGAACTTCACGATGCTCGTTATTGACGGACTCTAAATGGTATATACTTTCATAAATTTTTTTGGGTGGCAAAAAATAGCGCCATAATTAAGAGAGTATTGAATACTCGCAAATATAAAATAAGGTTCAATAAAATATCAAAATTAAGAGGTCAAGTGAGTGGGACAGGGAGTTCGAAAACGGCCGAAGATTGCCAAGCACAACTTCGATCATTGATAACCCTCAACTGTCCAGACTACTGGATAGGGATTGTCATCAATTTGGTATTTGATGTTTCGCAACCGTCAGCAGTTTAATAAAATTTTTCATGAGAGATCGCAACTTTATCTGAATACACATGGAGTTCGCCTCTAATATTCTAAAATTATCAATTGTATTTATTTTTAAATGCTAAAGTCTTGTGTAAAGCTCAAAAACGCCCCGATCAGGCTTCAGTGAAGTGTGAAATTTACTTCTGGCAAAATTGTTTTCTCTTGTCGTGACGATCACAGTTGGACAGCAGTAACGTCTACAAATTATGTCAGGAATTTTCCTTTCTAAGATTTTTTAAGGATTGTCCGTTTGTTCAATTTCTAATGAAACAAATTTAAAAGACGTTCAAAATGATTTAAACAAACTATCGATTGTGGAAACATTGAAACAAAAAACATGTAGATATGAGTATATACTAACCAAAGTTATGTCAGCAGTGCTCTAATTTGTAGCTGGCTTGCTGCTCATATCCACTCAAACTGAGTGAGGTTTACCAATGAACATATCATCTACCAACTTGGTCCTTATCGTAGGTTATTTACATTACATGAAACATAAGGTCGTATAAGAGGAAATCAGTACGTTTGAGTGGGCGCAAGCGCAGAGACAAAGCATCCCACACGGAAGCGATACCAGAGTAAGAGGATATAAATGGTTCACGCACATGTGTATTCTGCGAGGTCCGGATGGTTGAGGGTTACCAAATCCAAATCTTGACTACCCCTCATCCGCTACTATAACCTCATTTTATTTTACTTCGATGACAATTTTTGACTTGATGTATCGTGCTATCTGTAGTAGTAATGAGTAAGCGTTTTGAGAGTCGCAACAGTTTACTTTTTAAAGCAAAAAATAAGTTAATTTGGATGAAACGAGTAGATGGAAACTTTATCAGATTCCATGATTACTCGCAAGAGTTTAAACTGCGAAAAGTAAGATTAGGCGCAGTCTCTTTGTTCTCTTGATTCACACCAAGCAAAATTGGCAAGGTAAAATTGAAAATATTTTGCTTTCCGTCGATCAGAATTTATTATGCTCTGCGATCCAAGTCGGACCTCATTTTTCATCACCTAAGTAATGCTAATTGATTAAATTGGATGAGTTTTCCTAACCGTGTTGATCTAGCTTTTTGGTATACAATTTGGACTATTGTTTGAAATGGCAAGAGTTTTCTTTATGAAGTCAAGGGTAAGAAATGCGAGCGAATGGGGGGACTCTTTGTTTTGTTATTTCGTTGCAAAAATATTCGCAAGCTGAAATTGCAAGTCTTTTGCTTTCAGAATAAATAATACCCCTCTATCCGAATTAATCATTATATAAATAACACAAACAAGCTGTGCTTGCGACACAAGCCAACGTAAATACTACGGAAACCTTCATTCCGTGATTTGCAATCAGAGTGACAAGAATAGACCATTTTAAAAATTTGTTTACCCGTTTCAGGTCTCAAAGGAATTCCAAGATTTATCTTTTGTGCATTATGCGTACATATGCAAGTGAATAAGAGAAAATTGTAAGGAAACATCTCTTCAGATCGGTATTGTCACCTAAAATAAGTAAACTGAATTTAAAAATAACAGGTTTAATAAAGCCATCACAGGAGTGGGCCCCTTCCCATGAGTCTAAAGTGGCCTAAAGGGTCATTTCCGAAAAGGGACATGTCCCGATAGGAGGGTTTATATAAACTTCCTACACAAGAAATGTACCCATATCAACCCAGAGAACAACGATCTGTTTCACATTCATCAACTTCTCCTTTTTCCTAGTGGACAAGCAGGCGAAAAACTTTACGTTGCTTAGGGTTAGGGTTACGCGTGCCTCGTTGTTATGTTATAACTGTTTGTCTCACGATGAAATCACTTCAAGCA